TACAATAAATTTATGATTTTTGAAATCTCGTTAATGAAAAATATGGAATATATTTAAATCATTGAAAAATATTATTCATTTCAATAAAATTAACAGAAATTTACATTTTTATTACAATTTTTAAAACTTTTATAATATGAAATATGAAATTAAATATGAAATTATTATTTGTTGATTTAAGAAATAATATGTAACAATATATTAAAAAATATAATATAATTAATATATAATAAAATTAATTAATAACTAATAAAATAAATTATAAAAAATTATATAATTAAGATTATTCCATAATACTAAATATTATTTAACAAACAAAATATATTTATATATTTAAATTTGAAATTATATTTAAATATTCAATATGCATAAATAAATGTATCTTATGAGTTGGCTAACCTGCATAGATTGTTTACACCTGTCTTCGAAACTTTTGTTGTATATTCAAATTTAATATCCAATATGAGTAATACAAAAATTCAAAATATCTGCACGTAGCTATATATTCGTGAAATGGCCACAAGGACGGATCAGCCACGAATGAAACCGTTTTTGAAAATTTTTTTTTACATTTTCTCAGAAGAAACGTCAACTGAATACATAATGATATATAAATGCATCTTTGTGAATGTGTACATTGGATACTTGCAGGGTGAATTACTTTGGAAATTCATTTTTTTTCCAATTTTTCATCGAATTTTTGTTCAATATTCAGCTAAGTTCTTTGCAGATTTTTCTTTATAGATCAAATTTCTTCCGAGAAATTCTAATTTTTTTTAAGGTTAATCTTGAAGATTAGTATGTACACATTATAGAATATTTATTCATATTAAATTTCTTAAGATTTTTCAGTGTATTAAATATATTTATATATGTTTTTAGATATAGAAATAAAAATTTTTTTCTTAAATTAATAATAGACAATAAAATTTATTGAAAATTCATTTCAATTAATTATAAAACATAATTATAATTATGTTTAGAATATTTCTATGCATAATAATTATTTAATTAGTATTTAATTAATACTATTCTTAAACTTATTATTAATTCATTATCACGATTAAAAATTATATTTTGTATTTTTTATATTTAATGAATAATTAACAAAAAATAAATTTAAGAATGATAATATCATGATAATATTATATGATACATCATATATAAAATACATAAGTTAATCTTAAATAAATATGATTTATTTAAATTGCAACTATGATTAAATTATTATTACCGAATATTGAAAAAAAAATATAATAATTTATTAATAATATATGTATTAATAATCATTTATCAGGAATATTTATATTGAGAAATATATTTTATATATCTATATAAAAATTATATTTGAACTCTCTTGTATAATTATATAATTGTATAATTTATCGATTAATTATTGAATTGAATAAGTTATAAATTATTTAATAAATTACAAATTTTATAATTTTAAATAATTTATTTATAATCGATAAATTTATTAAAATATATTTCTTTTGTTATTAAACTTAGAATTATATAACAAAATTTCTTAATATATTAATAGATAAATGGTTTAATTCGTAAATTTTCATAATAATATTATGAATATATATAATATAATTTCATTTTAATAATATTAATGTATAATTATTATATATAACGTCTTGAATCATTTAGATTTTTTATGAAAATATATCAATTTTTTAGAAAATATTAAACTAAATGTAATCTAATAGTTTTATTATAATTTGACAAATACTATATGTGAAACTCAGATAATCAATAGCTTTTCAATTTCATTATTAAGATAGAAAAAATTGATGCACCACCTACAGCGCGACAACGTTGAATTCTTGCGTAGATAATCTCTTTGAAAGATTTTAAGAATGCCTATAATTTATGACTGCGAACTGGTCTTGATATTTCTTTTTTACATTTTTTCTATTTCGTTATATTTTTGATGTTTTTTATGGTCAAAAAGTAAATTGGAGCATGAAAGTGTAATAAAAGTGTATAAAGACATATAATATAAGAACATATTTGTTTATATATTTATATGAACAATATATGAACAAATATGTTCTTATATTATATGTCTTTTACTTTAGTTATTATTTTTTATTATTTACAGGAATACTGAAGCAGGAAAATTACTTACAATTTATTATTAAAATTTTTGTGTTTAATCATTTAAGTCGAAACAAATATAACTATAATATAAACAAAAAATTATTTATAATAACAATTATGATAAATTACATAAATTAATAAATAAAATATATTATTAAATCGTTTAATATACGTTTTATATATATTATATATTATATAAAATTAAATGTTTGAAAGTATCATTTCTACTAAGTTGTACACACAAAATACAATTATAGTCGATTTATTTATATTATTTTTTTGAAATCATCTTATGAGAAACTTAACCAGAAAAAAATATATTTTTGAACAGAATTAACATTTATAATTTTTTATGAAAGAAAAAGAATTAAAATGAAAATTTTGCAAATAATTTTGATAAATACAAGTTTGTATATCTGTGCACTATGTCTGTATAGCTCTTAGCAACAAGTCATAACCTATACTTTGTACGCACTTGTCAGAAACGGCGAGAAAACAAGATAGAGAAAAAGAGGGAGGAAAAGAGAAGGGAAGAGGAAGAAAGGAAAGGAGAGAAGATAGAAAGGCAAGATGGAAAAGAGATAGAAAAAAAGTCCGGTGGAATGTCTCGGGAAGACCTAAGGATTCTCATCGAGTATCTTAGGAAGACTGTCTTGCGGTGCTTTTGCGGCTCAACAAAAACCATTTTTTTTTTTGCACCTAGAGCAGGTATCAAGAAGAATAGAACGAGATTATAGAATGAACATTAATAATAGTTAGAATATGTAGAAGATCAGACAGCTTTCGTAATACGAGAATTTTTTGAATCTGACTATGCAGAGGAAAAATTTCTTTATTTGGAAATTGTATGAATTGTATATATCACAGGATATATCGATACTTTTTTTTTAGGATTATTTTTTAAAGAATATAATTATATATATATGTACAATATGTATATTCATCTACAAAATACAAAATTCACTTTATTTTTTGATAGAAAATGTAATAAGCATTTTAAATTAATGATTAATGATTTGTATACAAATTTATTAATAAAAAAAATATTAAATTATACTTTCAATACATTGAAAAATAAAAACAAAATAAATAAAAATCTTCATTTTCATAAAAATTCTGAAAGTAATTTAAGAAGCAAAGTAAAACGGTATAAATGTTCTATAAAATAAAAATTTAAATATTAAACATGGAAGAATATATTAATTATTAGAAAATTCTCACGGAAAATTTTTTATATAGGATTAATTCTAAAGTAAGATAATCGAAAAAGATATAAAATAAGAAAAAAAAGATAAAACAGAAATTAATAACGGTATGTATTTCTTTTGAATAACAATCATGTATATCAAAGTTTAACATAAATGTAAGGTACATTTCAACGCATTCGGGGAACCTCTACGAGGAGCGAAAGAATTGAATAGGAATAGTAGCTGAAGGATCGAGGCAAAGAAAATGAATCATGATGAGTGGGTATGACTAATGTATTACATTAATAACTGAATTTAGTTATTAATTTGATACCAGATGGCGCAATAATCCATTTATTTATCTGTCGTTTCAATAGAAATTCTAAGAAGAGTGGAGAAAAAAGTATTTATAAAGAAGAGATTTGTTCGAAATGATTGTCAACAGTCATAACAAGATTAATGTATGTACACTATCGATTATAAATATCCATTTAGTAAATTTAGATAAATGATATATTTATATTATAATTTATATTATAATAATGATATATTATAATTTTTGTTAAGTAATATCTGTTAAATATTTAGTTATTATTATAAATTTTTTTATTATTATTTTTAATTATTGTTTAAATAAAATGCATAGTATATTTAATTCTTATAATTAAATGATATAAAAATATTCAAATTTTTTTCATTTACATATTTATCATTGTACTATAATTACTAATAATATAATAATAATAATAATAATTTTTTAAATAACTTTTTAAATATCTATTTTTGAATATCTGTTTCTTATTTTTAAGGATAGAAATTAAATCATTTGGAATTTGATGTTTTTATACTTATTATTTCTATAGAGATTGGTCCATTAAAA